TGTTACGTCCGCCCAGCACTAGATCCCTACTTATGAACTCGGATTTTTACCAGTTGGTGGCGGATCGCCCCGTCATCGTCAAGAAGAGAGGGAGGAGGCAATAGTCTTTTTTTTTGTTTATTTCTTATTGCTGCTTGGGAGCGGGAGGAATGGATCTGGTGGGGTGCCCGATTGCGTTTTGAGTACTTTCTTAAAAGCTGCACCCGTGCCCGGCGACCACTTCCTCGGGTTTTTTGGTATTCTTTTTATTTATTTTTTCGCGAACGAAACTTGTTTATGAGGAAGTGCTAGATTCGTTCTAGGACAAAATTGGAGTTTTCTTTTTTTATTATCCTGGTTTTTCCTGTTTGTCACTAGCTTTTCGCGGGATGGTAATGGAATTCCACGTTTTTGGATTGTTACAGTGAGTGAGTGACCCGCTTACATAATGAGGGAGCGAGCAAAGAAAAAAGCCAACAAAAAGGCCAAAGAGCAAGAACTCCGTACTTGTACTCGTACGAGTAAGCCCAGTTATCGTTAGGAACGGAGATATGCGAAGGCAAATATCCCGAGACCCGAAACATCTAGCCGAAACGACCGGAACTCTCCTAGGAAAATATTACCGGTACGATACCGCAACTTGCGAGGACGGGCCGGACATACCCGCTACCACGGAAGAAGAAGAAGAAAATCCCCGATGCGTTACCCGCGCAAGCTCATAAAGTGCTGAAAAACAACTTTGTACTATAGTGGCAAATCAGGGCTCATGTCGATCGATGCGATGCGTAGTCTAAACAGCCCGGAAAAGAAATACGGCTCCGCACCGTACGAGTACAGTACTGTACTGTACTGTACTTGTAATTCGATCGCGCAGTGGTCGATAGAATGTAGTCCCAATGTAATGCGGCGGTAGAACAAGTGATAGGTAAAAACTTTGTTCGTCCCCACTCTGAAACGATGGGAAGGACAGGTATAAGTATAAACACGAAGGATGTATTCCTGGTACTTCTGGAAACCGCTATACTCGTCGACATCTCCATCGTGCTCTCATTTCCTCTGTGATGTAGTAGTAAAGGAAGGGACATTTGGAGATTCTACTACGTAATCTATGAACCCACACCGATGTACTGTACGTATCAAACCTCGAATTTCTGGAGTCTCTGCCTGACTCTTAATACTTTCACACAATCTACGGTAGACTATCATGCTCCGATCTGTCAACGTCCATTCGGAAGCTTCGAGTAGATATAATTAATCTGCCTGGTTGATAACTATTTCTGTAGATTACTGTACTGTACAGTACTGTACACTCCGACTTGCTCATGCCAACCAGACAACTTCCTTTCTCCCAAACTAATACCGACTAGACCACCGTAACTCAACCGCCAAACCAAATTACCCCACAGAATCTGTTTGTCTGTTCGTTTTCTCCGCCCTTCAAATTCACGACAAACGCTCGAGTACGAGCACCGTACTCGTACAGTACATGTGAATCCGGAAATCCCCGTCGACCGGTATCATATTTTCCACCCTCCACCAAACCAAACAAAAAAATTAAAAAAATTAAAAAAAAGCCCCAAGGCGTACTGTAGTCGTACAGTACTCGTACTCGTAGAGAAAGATCTAGATCCCGCCAAGAAGTCTCAACGCCGGAACGGAATCCGGTACAGTACTTGTACTGTAGTCCATACTCGGACCAAGTTAGGAATCCCCGTCACTTCACATCGTCATCGCGTGTTGGGGGGGGGGGGACTAAATTTAAATTTATCATAGTCTAACGTTTACCTACAAGTAGGGCTGATGGTATCATCGCCGGTTCGAAATGGGAGTTTGTGGATGGCCATGCCGGTGGAATCCCGCTGGGCGTGGCGCTGTTATATGTGTCGTGTGTGGTGGCTGCCGGGAGGGCGAACGAAGGCAGTACTCGACCGGAAAACTAACTCTTAAAAGCGGACTAGATTCTTCTATTATAGGAGGTGGGTTTGTGAGCACGCTTGGTCGGTTCTGTTTGTGCGTTACTTGCTTTGATCGATAGGCGGTCAGGATATGATGTTGAAGTTGGATATGTTGTGCTAAAGCTTCAATTCCGACTCCTAGCACGGTTTTGGATTCAAGGGTCCAGATTCAAACGCTTATTCTCTTTTCCCGGTGGAAAGTACTTTCAAGAAGAGAAACGGGAATATTCCCCAATCCAGCAAAATTTCAGATCAAGTGGAAGGTTTCGATTGATTTGTCCAGCAAGCTTGGTGTATAATACAGAGTATCATATGATACAACATCAACCACCGCCAACAACCTCTGCAAAAATACTAGGGGAGTCTCGGGTATCTACCCCCACGTAACCTCCTCCTAGCTGGCCATTCACCAATCCAGAAACTTTACAGTACTGTACCGCACAAACAGTCCAGAACAAAAAAGAAAAACAGTGACCGACGCAGACTTCGTCTCTTCGGGGAGGTACGATTGAACAACCCAACACCTTCCAATGGGCCATACGGTAGATAGTAGCACAGTAAACACATGATAACTCCAAAGGACAGTTGTTTGGGGGGGGAGGGGTGAAGCCGGGATGGGCCGCGTGTGGCTCTCTCTTCTAAGGTAGGACAATGGAAAGGGCGGATCTAGTCCACGCCATCCATACGATAACAAATACCCAAGCCAGTTTCACACGAGTCCAGGTTCCCCCGCTTTCCCCGGAAAAACTACAAGTAGAAGTGGAACGGAAAAAATATTGGGCTGATGATTGGTGACCCGGTAATTTGAGCGATACTCCCCGACCTAATCGATTTGCACTACCACCACCACAACCACCACCACACTTCCCAACTCCCCCGAGATTCCCCGTATGAAGCCTTTTTCCTGTCAAGTCCAGAGAGGTAAGGAGGGGGCTTGGCACGGCTATTCGGTTAGGCGATCTGACGGCCACGTTCACTACTGTATAATGCTTTTAGTAGTCCACGGCACTCCAGTAGACGGTAGTAGCAGAGAAAACCTAGATAGGGAAGAAACAAAGTAACCCACCACCCGTCAAATGTATCTACGCTTTACAAACTAATCAGCAAGAGTGTGTATTTCTGCTGTACCCACCAACTCTCCAAAACTTGGTTTATAAATGCCACTTCCCAGCCCCCCACCCCCTAAACCCCAAATCCAGCTAAAACGACACACTCGAGATGAAAGTCCGAATCTCTCCCCATCGAAAAATGGCTATCAAATCTTTACCAAAAGGTTTACAAAAGGAGGTGGACGAGACGCTGGAAGGATTGAGTCTAGAAGAGCAAGTCTCATTGCTCGCCGGCGCCGACTTTTGGAGAACTGTGGAGATTCAAGGCCGTGTTGCTGGTATCAAGGCTACCGATGGGCCCAGCGGAGCTCGGGGGCAGTTCTTTTCTAACGGGACGAAGGTCTTCTTGCTCCCCTCCGTGCAATTGACTTGGGTCGGTGAACTGATGGCGTGGGTGAAAATAAACCAGGCAGCATTCTTCCCCTCTGGTGTCTCCCTCGCCGCCACCTGGGACACGAGTTTGATCCGCAACGTCGGCGAAGCACTCAGCGAAGAGGCCCAGAGCAAACAGGCAAACGTCCTCCTGGCCCCGACCGCATGCAATCACAGGTCCCCACTCGGCGGGCGGAACTTCGAATCCTTCTCCGAGGACCCCTACCTGTCCGGGAAACTGGCAGCGGCGTATGTGAACGGAGTGCAGTCCAAAGGTGTTTCAGTCGCCATGAAGCATTTTGTCGCGAACGAGCAGGAGACGAACAGGTTCACCGTCAACGAGATCATCGACGAGAGGACCCTGAGGGAGATTTACTTGAAGCCGTTTGAGATTGCGATGAGGGATGCGGGTCCCTGGGCAATTATGTGCTCTTATAATGCTGTTAATGGGGCGAGTTTTCTCTAGCTTTTCCCCTGTGTTTGAGGGATGCTAACGGGGATTATAGCAACATGCGGACGTCAACGACTTCACTATGAAGCAAGTGCTTCGGAAAGAATGGGGATACGATGGGCTGGTAATGTCTGACTGGGGCGGAACTCATGACGCCGTTGATTCTATCAAAGCAGGACTCGACCTAGAAATGCCCGGCCCGGCCCACCGCCGTGGAGAGAACCTTCTCAAGGCGATCGAAGAATCAAACAATGACACCAAACTCCTAGCGGCCGTCAAGACCGGAGCCCGGCATGTGCTAGAGCTCATTGCGAGGAGTGGCAAGTGGGGACGCTTCGGCGAGGAACCAGAGATGGCGAACGACAAGCCAGAGCATCGAGCACTCATCCGAAAAACCGGTGCTGAGGGGATTGTCCTGCTCAAGAACGAGAGCAATGCTCTTCCTATCTCGACCTCCGTCAAGAAGATAGCCTGGATAGGCCCCAACGCAAATGAGTGCATTGCTGGAGGCGGTGGATCTGCAAACTTGAACCCACATTACCTCACCAACCCCCTCGACTCCATTCGAGAAGCGGCGAAAGAGCACGGCATAGAAGTGAATTACGAGATTGGCTGTCAGACAGAAAAATGGGTAAAGACGTTCCCCATCACCGGAGGTCGAGTGAAGACCTCACCGAAAGGCGGAAAAGAAGGCATGATCCTCGAATTCTTCCAAGGCCGCGAATGCCAGGGGGAAGTGGCGGAAGCCAGGACGACTAAAACCTCCACCATCTTCCTCATGGACGGGAAACCCCCCCGCCTGGAGGACAAGGACTACAGCGTCCGACTAACAGCATACTTCACCCCGGAAGCCTCGGGAGAACATATCCTGGGACTCGGGGCCGTCGGGCCAACCAAGTTATACGTGAACGACGAGCTCTTCCTGGACCACACCCACTGGACGGAAGCCGGGGAACTCTTCTTCACCTCCGGTTCCAAGGAAATCACCAAAAAGATAACACTCCGATCCGGCGAATGGTACAAACTCGTCACCGAGTCGACCACTAAATCCCCCGATCAGGAGCCCCCAGACACGGGCAACGACAGCCTCGACTTTGCATCCGCCGTTGGGATCCGGCTGGGCGTCGACCTCGTCCGCGATGCACAGGAGCACATCTCCCGAGCCGCGGCGCTTGCCGGAGAATCGGACGTGGCGGTGGTGGTGGTCGGCATGAACAACGAATGGGAATCCGAGGGCTACGACAGACATGGCATGGATTTGCCGGGAAAGCAAAACAAGCTGATCTCCGCCGTCGCGAAGGCCAACCCGCGAACCATCGTGGTGAACCAATCCGGGTGCGCGGTGAGCATGCCGTGGCTGGACGAGGTGCAGGGGCTGCTACAGGTCTGGTACCAAGGACAGGAAGCTGGGAACGCGCTTGCCGACGTGCTTCTCGGGAAGAGGGCACCTGGAGGCAGGCTCCCCATCAGCTTCCCGAAAAGGGTGGAGGACAATCCATCCTGGGGCAACTTTGGTGACTCTGGCGCGGAGAGCGAAGTGCAGTACAGTGAAGGTGTGTTTGTTGGATACAGACACTACGTCTCCCGCGAGGTCCCCGTACTCTTCCCCTTTGGCTTCGGTCTCTCATATACCACCTTCTCCCTCTCCTCACCAAGATTCGCTGGAGGCAAAAACACCCTCGCACCGGGCGCCACGGCGACCGTCGAAATGGCCATCAAGAACACTGGCAAAGTGGCCAGCAGCGAGACAGTGCAGGTCTACATATCGCCCAGAGCCGGGTCCCCACCGGTCGGGAGGCCCACCAAGGAACTCAAGGGTTTTGCGAAAGTCGACTTACGGCCGGGGGAGGAGAAAGTTGTAAAGGTTGTGCTGGACGAGTTTGCCGCTGGTTACTTTGAACCGAGTGTGGGAAAGTGGAGGGCCGAGAAGGGAGTCTACGAAGTCAGTGTTGGGAGGAACGTGGAGGATGTGGTAGGGAAGTTGGAGGTAATTGTTGAGGAGACGTACGAGTGGATTTTTTAGCCAGAGTAAGAGGGAGGGGTGTGTAAATAGTTCTTTTGGCACCCGATGCCCTGGAGGCATTGGCATGTGTGTATATGTATGCGATATGTGCATGCTAGCGGGAATAGAAAACCCATGAAGCGGCGATTCCTTTCTTGGTTAGCAGGCGTCGTTATATCACCGATTATCACTCGTTACAGATATCTCTGCTAACGGATACTATTTATCCTCTCACACCCGGTTACCGGCATCATTCATACTCTGCTTGGGGGGTTCAACCGGCAGCTGGCAGCGATAGAACGAATGCCCTTTGTATGATACGGAGCTGCACAAAAACCCCCCAACTCCTTCAGTTGGCCCAGTGCTCATGCGTCAGCGCCTTTTCGGGGAGAAGGTGGAATAGTGAACCCAACAGTGTAAACCACAATTTCAATTTCACGACCCTGGGATATTTCCGATCTAACCTATCAATAACGCATAATGCCGTCCCCCCCACTCCACGTTATCTACCATCTCTTGAAACAATATCATACCCACCTTCATCACACACTCCCCACGTCTACCCTTTTCACCGCCCCCAAACCTAGCACACAATGGAGCGCGTAGGACCACGCATCAGGCATAATACCCCCCTTCCAGCCGTTGAATCTAAATGACACCTTGACTGCCTACGGTCGAAAATAAAGTGCAGCCAAAACCTCACTGTGTCAGGCCGACTTGCTGTTTCCGGGTCACTCACTAACTGCGCGTGGCGGATTGATTCTTTGGGTCTTGGCCATCCGCAGAGCAAGGTGTGTCTGCAAGGTACTGCGGTGCCTCCTACCGTAGGAACACTAGAGGCCCAATGAGGGCTTTTTTTTTTCTTCTTTGGGGCAGAAATCTTTTACTCCCGAATGGCTCACTCTTGACTCCAGAATTCTATCGAACAACTGAAATCGCAACGGTCCCAAACATGATTTTCCGAGATTAATTGGATTATGATCAGGCTTGCGATTATGAATTAATTGCCATTTTCTTCCTCCCGGTGGTATTAGTGGTGGATGGAGCTGTCAGGTCAGTACAGCCCCTTTAGTATCCGAGTCGTGGCTCGAAATAATAACTAAATTGCTGAGAGGTTAAAATCGCTATCATAATATATATCTCATTTGGCGCGCTAGCCCCTTCCGGTTTCAAATCACGGGATCAAAAACAGATTTTTTCCTTCCAGAAATGATGAAATGCGTGTAACTCGCACTTCACTTCAGCCCTAACTTGAAACTGATCCATCCCCCCTACCGTAATTTTTAAAATGATAATCAGTTATCAATATATTGATCGCCACAAATCAACGATATGTATCCAAATCGGAACGAAACCACCTTTTTTTAATCATTACTCGAAACCATGATTCTGTATCGAATCGCGCAATTATAATCACGTCTACCAGACACACACCCCTCCACGCTAAGTTTCTTTTCCCTCGTCTTGGGATGCGATCGAGTCAAATTAAGCTAAGGCCAGGGGTACCGTACCATAATGACTCGAGCGTACCGCCCCAGTTATGGACTGGATGGATCGGATATTAGTCAGACATGGTCCCGGGTCCTACAAGTAGAAAGAAGTCCTGCGCCCGTGGAGAGCTATCGCTTTATGAGAAAATCTAATCAACCCGCTGGGGGCAAAAAGCGGACTCAAGTCGAGTTGCTTACGAGTGAGTACTAGTCTATCTTTGGCAACGTGTATGTAATGGGTAGCATAGCACAGTAAGCTAATCGCCAGGCAAGAGGCACAAGGATCCACCACAGCAGACAACGAACAAGTTTAAAAATCACAACTTGCGGTACGGTACGAGTAGTCTATGTGTTCGAAAGCAATTCATTCTTCTAATCCGATCAAACCTGATTCCTCGTGTGGGGGGGGGGGGGGGTGGTGGCACTTTTATCCCTCCCCTGATTTCGTTTTTTTAGGGCTGATGGTGGACTGCACTTATCATATCGCTCATAGGATATTCGTACAAACTTCATTTACCCTTCGTTCGGGATAACCCTAACCCTACGCGTCAATTTGTTGAGCATGGTGTTGTGCCTGTATTCAGACATGGAAATGTGTGGAGGGAACTGATGGTTTTACGCCCAAATTTTTATAATCCTGGGCATGCATACAATGCAGAGATGGAAGCGGGTCACGGTTGGCGGTTAGTATGCTGAGTTTTGATGATTAGCAAACATCTGTCCGCCTGGGTCCGATTGATGGTAATTGTCTAGCTGTGGAGTTTCGCAGATTGAGTGCGTGGTTGGTGATGGGCGTAGTTTGCGAGAGCGATCTGCGGGGTATCAGATCATACGATACCGGTAGGAGAAAGTGCTTATGTCATCATCCGTCTGAATAAAGTTGCTCCTTACCATAAAGGTCGACCCACCACCACCACCCTTCCCAATGTTACTGCGCTACAAGTACAGGTATTGGTGCTCAGGGGTGGGCGAGGTGTGTTGCTAATTATCCCAGCAGCGATGGTGAACCAGCAGGGTGGAAAAAGCATGGAATTACTTTGACTATCCAGGATTTTCTCCTTTCTTTTCCCGAACCCAATTTCCCACAACCCATTTCCATCTCTCGGCACCGAGCTTTACCCCTCTCAGTAAGGGAACCAATCCGAACCCCTACCGTGGCGTCGAGAGGAAAAAAAGGACAAACGGTGTGGAGCCAGCCAAGGGAAAAAAAAAAAAAAAAGACACTTTTCACACCTGCATGCAGCAGCATGGGGTAAGCTGACCGTGGCTCCAGTCACACAATTTGCTGATAATACGGTACCGGTGCACTCGAGTACGGTGGGTGGGCTGGGGGAAAACAGAGGGGGATGAGGATTCTGTGGCGGTGTGCTCTCTCGCAGAGACCGAGAATAGAGTTATAATAGTAGAGCACCGCCACAATACTTTCCTTCACGACCCTACCGGTACTGTACTCGAGTATGCTCGTCCCAGGCAAGGAGTCCTGAACATTCAGGATAATTTCGCTTGCGCGCACAGATACACACGGGTGATTGGCCATGCATTTCCCAATCCCCTGTACCCCCCCCTTTGGTCGAGTACCGGTAGTACGAGCAGTAGTACCGTGTGCGATGCTGCAGTTCGACAATTCCCTACTTTGGAAAAGGGGAGAAAAAAGAGCTGCTCAGCCCCACTGAGAGGCATGGGGAAAACAAGGAAACACCAAAGACCCTACCAGAGGGGACAACTCTAAGGATAGCACTTGGTTCCATACGGTACTCAAGTTTTTTTACCGTCCACTCACCACATTTTGGCCAGTGAAAACTGAAATCGCCTCACCCACCGTATGCTCACCCCCGGTACCGGCCGCACAGCACCGTAGAGGAAGTCTTCATGGTGGCACGGTGTGGCCGGGTGACTCTAGCATCGTATCCACTCCAGAGTGATCCTATCAGGTTAATCTCCCCTACGGTACACAAGTTCTTTGCCACAATAGGTAATAAATAAGGTCCTGTAGCCAACCATGCTTTTAGGACCGGGCGTTCAGCGGGGAGGGGTATTCGAGTACAATAGCACAGTCAGGTTGGATCAGCCAAACTACTCGAGTACCGGTACAGTACTAGCGGTAACCCGTAATTGATAAAACAAGAGGAATTTCCCGTACTTTTGCTAATTTCGGGATTTTCCTTCTTCCATCTTTCTTTCCTTCTTCCGCCCCCTTAACTTTAATCAAAGAATTGAGCACCGCACCGCTCCGGGAATAGAGCACAGTACATTACGCGACCTCCCGCCAACTCGAGAACAAAAGAGAGAAATGTCGAATAGAGACAGGTTCGAAGACACAATTCCCCTCCGAGAGCCATACCAGCACCACACAATGCTCGACCCGGACGCCAAATCCAGCCCCACCTTCCCTCTCCACCGCAAAAAGCGAAGGATAGACTACTGGGCGTGGGAATGGCTCGCCATCCTGGTCTCATTCCTGGCCATTGTCGCGAGCACGATCGTGCTGTTGCTTTTCGATGATCGTGCGATTCCGGCGTGGAGTTGGTCGTCCGGGGGCATCAGTGTTAATGCTATATTGTCGTTGCTGTCGACATTGTCGAGGGCTTCCTTGTTGGTGCCTATCGACGAGTGCATGGGACAGTTGATGTGGCTTTGGTTTTCGAAGAGGGAGAGGAGGTTGGCGGATGTGGAGGTTTATAATCAGGCCTCGAGGGGCCCATTGGGGGCCCTGAAGTTGTGCTGGAGGCAGAAGGGGTGGTATGTTATCACGAATTGGCCGAGGTAATCACGTTTTACTGACTTGGGATGTTTGACTAGGGGTCTGGGATGTTTGGGGGCCCTCCTAATGGTTTGCTCAATGGGACTCGGCGTTGCACAACAGCAACTTCTCTCATACCCCAACCGCTCCATAATCCAACCCAACTCAACCTCAACGGTGACCCGCGCCGAGCGCTTCGACACATACCAAAACGTGACCACTTCCGGCACGACCACTCCGGAGATCTCCTTCTCTCTCCTCTCATCAATCTACAACGCTGCGCTCTCCGGCTCCTCCACGGGGAAATTCTCTACGGTGAACCAACCATTCTTCACCTGCACTAGTGGGAACTGCGAGTTCCCGCCGTTCGCAACGCTAGCAGTGTGCAGCGAGTGCTTCGATGTCAGCGACAAAGTGCAGTCCAGCTGCGACGCGGACAACCTCTGCACGGCCGAGTTCGGTGGGATGAGGGCGCAGAGCTGGCAGCAGCCGGATAACAACAACATCAACACCATCCTGAACCAGACCTACCTCGCTTTAGGCAGCTCGACCATGCTGAATAGCGGGGTTGCGAGCAGGAGTAGTCCGTTTTCCACCCTGGCGCATTTGCAGGCTCGCAGCGAGAACGGAAATTGGCCGCCGAAGTATCATGGTACGGAGTGTGCGCTCTTCTGGTGCGTCAAGACCGTGAGCGCGAAGGTTCATAAGGGGGTTTACGCCGAAGAAGTCATTTCTACGAATACGGACATTACCAACGGGACCAATGGGGAGCGGAGCTTTTCGTTGACTAATGGGACCCAGGTGACTTCCTTCGTGATTACCCCACTGGCACAGGAGTCTATTCAGGGTCCCAAGGGCGTTACGAATCTCTTATCAGGATGGGCTAAGGGGTCAGGATATAGTCGTGTTTTCTCGTCGGACCTAATGCAGGGCTTCAGCACTCAGGCGAATGTGACGGAGGTGATGTCCCGCGTGGCCACCGCCATGACCAATCGCGTTAGAGACTTTGACGGTCTGACCCCGCCGGTGAACGGAACGACTATGGCGAAGCAGTCCTTCATTCGTGTGAGGTGGCCGTGGCTCGCTTTCCCGGTGACACTTTGGGTCTTCTCCTTGATATTCTTGCTGACGATCGTGGTCAAGAGCCGAGAGGGGGAGACGAAGTGGGGGATGCGTGCTTGGGGTGCTAACTCACTGGCTCTGATGTTTCATGGGTTGGATGAGGATTCTAGGAATCGTGTTCGCGAGGGCGAGTGGGAGGAAATGGAGGATCTTAGTGAGAGGTTGTGGGTGAAGCTTGAGAGGGGTGATGAGGGGTTGAAGTTGAGAGCTCGGAGGATCGATGAGTAGTTTTTTTAATTTTTTTACACGGGGGAGGAAAGGCTGATTTATAGCGTACCATTATGTTTTGTATTTATTTATTTGATTTGCGGCGTTTGTGTTTCATATCATACTTTGGATAATTTTTTTCGGTTCCATCCTTGGAGATTTAGACGATGGAACTTATAAAGAAACGCCAGATAATATTATCATACCCGGTGCGCGAAGCTCATCTTCAGTGTCCTTCCATACCATCCAGTTATCGACCCCCAGTCCAATACCAGTACAACAAATGCACATGCACCCCTAGAACCACCAGATAAACCATCATACCCCCCTGCTCCATATCATTTCCCAAGACGACGCCATCCGCTCTCTAGCTGCCGATCACATCCCACAGCACACCGCAGCACGAGCTTAACACTATACTCGCAAGGCCATCCAGGTCACGAATGATATGTACCCCACCAAGGAAAGTCCGGGAAGACCCGAGCAATCGTTTAATTTACACCATGAAGAACAAGGACTCTAAGTTTAAAATACCATGAGATACAAGTACAATACCATGAAAGGAGTGGAGTGGAGTTTCTAAACTCTGACCTCTAACCCCTGCCTTTTTTCAAGGCAGTAGGATAAGCAACTGCGGTAGGCAATAAAGTTATGGCAGCTGCGGAAGTAATTATTAATCAAGACTCTGGATATCTCAGCAACAGACTTCCCCTGAAATACTTGTAAAAATGGTAAAAAAAAAAACATGAAAAAATATATGATACCCAAGTGAGGAGTAATTTTGATATTTTTTTTTTCCTGTGCCCGGGTACTGTACGGGCTTGGCACGTCGTGTAGCTCATGATGGATGGATGGATGGGAAATATGGCGCACATGTTTTGACTCTTGTGCGATAGTACAGTACAGTACCTACCTCACGGCATTTCGAACAGCCCCCTATTTTTCACTCACTGCACTGGACTAGTAAGTACAGTAGACGATCCCGGCAGTGGTTTCTCCCCTTCCTCTTCCTTACTCGTACTCGAGTACTGTACACATCTTGAACGAATGACCGGCGTGTGTTTAGGGGGTACTTTTACGCCTGCGTGATCCCGTCCCGTCCTACAATCACATGTTCACGTCTAGATGTGTGCGTGGCTTCTGGCCTTAGGCATGATGAATGTTATTTGTATCATATGCAGTGATAGGGAAAGGTGAGGTTGGGCATCTATAAAGTTGTGGTGGTGGTGGTGGTACTGTACTGTACTGTACTCGTACTGTGCTACTGTATGTACTGTACTGTACATCCACATCGCGTTCAAGAGGTCTTGTTATGTGGGCTCAACTGGCGCTTGGAAAATTGGATTTGGATGTTCTGTGATGGATTGCCTTGGTTACTAAATTGTCGTGCTGGTGGTTGGTGAATATGTTCTGTGGGGATTAATCCCCCCCTCGAACGATATGTTCACCTGGGTGTGATGGATGTTCATGGATGATAGGGCGTGGTGAGTTGGGAGGTCAAAATCTGAAGGTTTTTTCTTCTTTCTTCTTTTTGAAAGAAAAAAAAAAAAAACTAAACGAAATAAGAGATCAAATTCAATTACCGAGTGAGGATAGGTTTGTGGATAATGTAGCTAGTGACTTGGTTACCTGAGATTGTGTTTTCGGATAAACTAACCAGCGGCAGAAACAACGATAAGTATGATAGATACTGTACGGTAGTTTCCTCATATTTCGCACGGTCACGCAGCAAATATGCATACACTCCCATCCCGTTCCCCGCAAACCGTATTCCTGCCATGACCAAGAAAAATAAGCTCCTACGATCTCTCCAGAGATTTCAATAGACAACACCATGGAACGAAACCCCCTACCATTCATACCAAAAACCTTCAAACATTTTGCCAAAAAGGACAATGAAATAATGACCGCCAGTTAGTTAGTTAGTTAGTTAGCACGCATATCAAGAAACCAGCACCCGCTATTCACTTATTCCCCAACACGTCGCCATATATCATGGTACCATACTCCAACTAATCACTCTCAACCTGTTGAAAATGGCAGTTAAGTACCCGTAGCTCAGACTGGAGGCTACAGTGGTGTGCGTACCTCTCAGATGAGGACGCGTAAGCAGTGAAAAGTTTTCACCTTATTTCTTTTTATTTCTTTTCTTTTCTTTTCTTCTTAACCTTCTCAACCCTCAAGTCGACAACGAACTCCACTCCACACCTCTTGTATGAAACTCTCCTCACTCCTTATTCTCTACTCTTCACACACATACAATACAAGGTTCCCTCATTACCATTAGAGCCAACTCAGTCCACTGCGTAAAACCCACCTTTCAGTTATTACTGTTGCAATGACAACTAGTTTTATCCTGTCTGTCATCCTCAATTTCCAACAGGTTATGAGCCCGGGTTCTGCGTAACTCCAGTTGGCTTCTTTACTCACTCCCGCCTGTCTCTCCTGCAATTGTTGCCACAATGTCAACATCCAATCGAACTTCGAAACTTTTTTCATCCGCTACCGGTACAGTAGAGATTTTTACTTGTAAATTTGGCACGACTCAAAAGCTTAACAAATCAAATTTTCACCATTGGAGTGAGGACCTTAAAGCTTTTATGAGAGCTGATCAAACCTACGATGTCATCTTCAAAAATCAAAATCCTCCAACACCTGATCAGCAGCCAGCCTACGCCGAATATCGAAATAAAATCAATCAAGCATTTGGAATGATTTTTACCTCCTGTACCCAACAAGCCAAGCAACACATTCGTGGCCTTGACTGTCCTATTGCTATGTGGGCTTCACTTCGGAAAAGGTACGACGTTACTGCTTCGCGAATTGGATGGTTAACACTTCAGCGTCAATTCTTCGCCCTGCATCTTGAGCCCGGGATGCAAATTAACAACCTGATTTCGGCAATGAAGTCTCTACAATCAAGACTTCTTGGTACTGATATGGAAATCTCGCCAAGCTCCTTTGTGTCTCTTCTAAACTCTCGCCTTTCAGAAGAGTACCTACCTACCATGGATTGAGTACTCTCTGAGTCAGACCTAGATATCGATTGGCTCGTGGAGGCTATTCTCCGGAAGGAACAAGCCTAATGTTAGAGAAAGAAAAGATGATGTGAGTGGATCAAACACAGTTGGAGCCTCGACTACAGCACTTGCTGCAGGCATCACCTATTCAACTCCGAGTTGAGGAAGGATGCGAGGTTCACAGTACAATCGCATCTACAATCGAGGAAGATACAGCAACACCAACTTCGGTAGAGGTCAAAACCGAAGGCATGAGGGACGATCTGGGCTAGTGTGCAATTATTGTACCAAAAGAGGCCATCGAGAAGCGAATTGCTTTATCAAACAAAGAGCTGAGCGAAGGAGTCGAGCTCTCCATTCAAATGATTCCCATTCATCACTGCCTAGTCGCATCTCCGGGAATCACAATGAAGAGGCTCTTATTGCATCTTATGTTTCTGAAAATGCCCTCACTGTTGATACTGCTTCGATTGCCCTGGAGCAGGCCAATTGGATCATTGATAGTGGAGCGTCTGATCATCTTACCCATGACAGAAGAGCGTTTCATACGATTAAAACCCTTCCAGCACCAGTTCCAGTTTTTATTAGTGATGGAAGCCGATTGCTAGGGGTTGCTCGTGGCACTATTCAGATTCGATTGAAGTTAGGTGCTGTCTTGGAACTTGAAGCTCTATATGTTCCAAAGCTTAAATACTCTCTCATCTCGGTTGCTCGCCTCTATCAAAGGTATAGTATTACCTTCTCCTCTACGACTTGTGAGATCGTAGGAAAGGCAAGAAAGCTGAACCGATTAGCAGTACTCCAAGATGGGCTCTGGAAACTTTGTAGCTCACCTTTCACGATACATACTTCACATGCGCTTCTTGCAAGATTTGGATCTTCTATCGCTAAGTTGTCTTGGGCACTGTGGCACTCCAGAATCACCTACCTAAACCTTCACTCTTTAAAGGTTGCTATAGGTGACTTTCTCCAACAACCATTCGCAAGTGATACAGAGGACCTAGTTGATTGTACAGTTTGTATACTGGCGAGACAGTAGCGCAAAACTATCTGCCAACCTGTTCCAAGAACTATGCGCCCATTTGAGCTGATACACTCAGACCTTGCTGGGCCTATCGCGGTACCTTCATGCTCAGGAGCTCGCTACTTTATACTCTACATAGATGACTATACACGCTACACTTCCGTGTATTTTCTGTGAACCAAAGAGGCTACCGAAGTTACCCGCTGTTTTCAAGAGTTCATAACCCGAATTGGAAAGCAGTTTCTACAGTTCCCTGTCACCAGATTTAGATGTGACAATGGAAGAGGGGAATATTCCAATAAATTCTTTCGAGGCATTCTTCGTGCATCAGGAGTGTTGTTTGAGCCAGCTCCGCCCTATACCCAGCACAAAAATGGACTATCTGAGTGCATGATAAGGACTATAGCAACAAAAGGAAGAAGTTTGCTCTTGGACTCGAAGCTGGACCCAAGTTTGTGGGCTAAAGCTATTAATACAGCAACTTATTTACATGTGCGTTCATCCTCTCGTATATTAGGAGATAAAAGTCCCTATGAAGTACTTTATGGCAAGAAGCCTTCGCTTTTACACCTTTGCCGTTTTGGCTGCCTAGCTTATAAGTTGATTCCTGAGGCACAGCACACTGAGAGGAAATTTGGTCCAAGATTTAAGAGATGTGCAATGTTGGGCTATGTCCATGATACGGGCAAGATTTGGAAGATGTAGGACTTGGAGCAAAAGTGCCCTTTTCAATCCTCTGATGTTGTCTTTGATGAGACCAAAGTTGCTGGTTCCTTTGAGTATTGCACGAGATATGATATTTTAAAGCCTCTCCTTCCAGAGGATATTCTCTTAGTTGATGAGAATGAAGAGGATCCAGTTGACTACCACATTATAGATGTAGGTAGAGTGAGGTCCTCTACTGAACAGTCTTTGACTGTTGGCACATCCGAGAAAACTGCTAGGCTTTCTGAAAGCCTGATCGAGAATATGAGTTG